AAACAGAAATGCATAACAGAGAGACAGTAAACATAGGTGTGAGACAAGGGAATAGTAATAACGAAGAACAATATAGTTTCGTTGGAAGACTATAAGTCACAAGGAGTGAATGTATCTGTGCCAGCCAGCCATCATCGAGAACGATTTTGATTTTAAGTGCTCCCATATGAAGCTGACGATGTGGCTTTAAAAGGCTATCTGGGGGTGTTTTTATGGCTCTCACCGTTGTTTGTGGTCACAGATTGAAGTGAAGATGACTCACTAGTTTGCAGAATAGTCTGTCTGTCTGTCTGGATTCAACATAGAACTTGGCACCGAAGTGCAGCAGTTCGAGTTGCCACGTTCCAAATAGCACACAGAGGTAGACAAGAAGATGAGTGAAGAGAATTAATAGAGTTTGACAAATATAAGAGTGAAACAGAATGGGTAATGGTAGAAAGGAATATGAAAGATTACAGAGACTGAATACATCTGCGCCATTGACAACGATTTTGAGCCATGTCACCTATTGTCTCCAGCCATTGATTCCTAGAGTCCCGAGGGCCCCAACCCGGGAGTCTGCATCTCCCTACCTGACTCAGTTTAACTGTCAAGGATTTCATGGATTGATGCCATGTTTTTGTTTGGCCACCACTGGCTCTTTTCCAACCTGAACCTATATCAGCTAACAATGCCCGTCGGGGGAGGCGGTGGTTAGGCATGCGCACCACGTGACCTAGCCATCTTAGTCTATGTAACTTTATAACCTCGTCGATTGATTTTCCCTCTTTGCCCAACACTCTACGCCTAACGTCAACATTACTTATCTTGTGAAACCACCTAACGTGAGACAGAGATCGCAGACATCTATGATCGAAAGCAGTCAACCTTTTCATGTCTTCAACGCGTATTGGCCATGTTTCAGAGCCATAGAGAAGGACGGAGCGAACTGATGAGCAGTACACACGTCCCTTGGTTGATAACCGGATGTCACGCCTACGCCAGAGATGGTGTAAGTCAGCGAAAGCAGCTCGAGCTTTTCGGATCCGTGCTGAGATTTCATCGCCAATCAGTCCGTTGGTGCTAATACAACTTCCCAAGTAGGTGAAGTGGTCAACATGTTCTATCACTTCACTCCCTATCACTAAGTTAGGGGTTGACGTCGTCCAGTCCTGTAGCAGCATCTTACATTTTGCAGGGGCGAATCGCATGCCAAACATACGAAGATTGCTGCTCAAGGTGTTCAGAAGACTCTGCATTTTGTCAGCATCCTCCCCTAACAGGACTATGTCATCTGCATATTCTAAGTCCATTAGATTATTCCCTGGTAACAAGTCGATTCCTAAGTCACTACGTTCAGTTAAGGATACTTCCATTAGCATATCTATGATGAAGTTAAACAGAAATGGGGAAAGTGGACATCCCTGTCGGACACCACTGGTTGTTACCAATTCAGATGACAATTCCCCATAAGCCCTTACACGACTACGTGAGTTTGAATAGAGTGCCTTGATTAGTGCAATGTACTTTCTTGGCACTCCCTTCACAGTCAGACATTGCCATAGTACCTTTCGATCCACGGAGTCGAAGGCCGCCTTCAAGTCAAGAAATATGACAATTGTTGGACGCCGAAAAGTGTGTCTATGTTCTAGAATCTGTCGAAGAGTGAAGATATGATCTATGCACCCTCTACCTGGTCTAAAGCCTGCTTGATTTTCCCTTGTCTGTTCCTCCCGAGTTCTGCTTAGTCTATGCATGATTACTGAGCCTAGGATTTTAGAGACTATGTTCGTTAGGCTGATCCCCCTATGATTATCACACGAGGACTTGTTTCCCTTCTTGAATATCGGTATAATAAGTGACTTACCCCAGTCTGATGGTACTGTCTCTGATTCCCAGACTTTGCCTAGTACCTCAGTTAATCTACAAACTAGTATGTCACCCCCATATTTAAACACCTCCGGAATAATTCCGTCGGGTCCTGCCGCTTTGCCTCGTTTCAAATTACTGATAGCTTTTGTGACCTCACTTACAGACGGCGGACCAGTGTCTATATCCCATTCGGGTGTGTTGGATGTCGGGGAGGTTCAGTGTGGCTGTAGGCAAGTTAAATTGTCCCTCAAAGTGTTCTTTCCAGCGTTCAAGGCGTCTATCCTGAGAGCTAATAGAGCAGAATAGTACTAACTGTAGTAGAGAAGCAATATGAAGAAGGTGATGTGGGTAAAGGAGAATGATGCTCAGGAAGGCTTCGTGTGCTTTTGGAAGTTTGTGGGCGGTTGTTACTTCCCGGCTGCTGCCCAACCAACCGTGGAGTTTGATTGATTCTTCGGGTACCTGAAAGAGAAAGAGGGTTAGTGTTACGTGACAACTGCTTGAGGCCAGTCACACCCAACCCGCACGAACCTGTGTCTTGGTTTGGTTCCGTATTAGTCAACTTTCCGCCACTTACGAATCACCTTAGTTGGGGCAAGTTGGGATGTACAGTTTTTGGATAACCCACTCTCTCCCTCCAGAATGGAGAGACAGCATAGCTAGCTGGCATTTTGGTCATCTGAGGGAAACACCTCACTGCTGTCACACCCCTGTTCCCCAGTGGCAGTACAACTTCGCTCAAGGATTCTCACACTGCGGCGGTAACTGCTTTTAGTCTAATCGCTATCCTAACAACATTCCTGGCATGGTAGGACCCGCAGGAACATTGGTTTCAGCCAGTGCAGCTTATTGGGTCATCGCGATATGCAAGCCCGACTACCACGTCAAGGTAGCAGCTATCGGTCGGGATAGTTGGTGGCAATCGGCCACAGGAAGCCTTGCTCGACCTAGGTTTCGCGCTAGTTGGTACTCACCAGTTAGTAAGATGTATCTGCAACCACCTTGAAGCAACTCATATCCCTTCTGAGATTCGAACTGTTGTCACCCTGCAGTGTGCACTACCATCAGAGCCGTTACCACTGAGCCAGCTATTCTGGCTGGCCTTCGACTGATCTCCTGTAGAACTACTGACTGTAGTGACACTTTGATCTAATGTCATCAAATCAATGTGCATCGTGATGGCGAGCTACCTAGTTGTATGGCGGCCACATTGCAAACCTGACTGATAGAATTCAGTCTGCACCGAACAAAAGGACCTGACACATCGCACTTTTTACTAGTGTCCAATCAAATTTTGGAATATATTAAAGCTCAACCATTGTTAGTTCAATCATTATGAAGTTGCATCATTTGAGATGGTTAGGATATGTGTTACTCATGGGATGCCTAGCCATCGTCTGCTTTAGTCGACAGTGGCCAGTGTTAGCCGTTGAGATAGGATGGATCAGGTTAGAATAGAGCTAGCATATAGTGGTCAAACCAAAAGATGACTTCATCAGTCGATGAAATCCATAACAGTTAGTTAAAGCCAGTCAGTTATGCGTAGGATGGTGGTGTAGACTGTTTGGGGAAGGGATCCTCGGGATGCTAAGAACCAATCACGACTGGAGACAAGTGATGGGTATTGTTTATTCCTTAACATTCCCAGAGCTGACACATAGGACTTCAAGCTAGAGCTTGGAATTTTCGGTAGCAGTGGTTTTTTAATTTTATGGGGTGGTGGGGTGTCTCTAGCTCCATGCTGAACCTTTCCTCTTTACCAGTCTTATTACTGTCTTAGCGAGGTGAAGGAGTCTGTCGGCCAGGCTGATGGTATGGCTCAAAGTCGTCATTGTCAATTGTAGGCGCAGATGTGCATTCACTTCTTGTAATTTATAATATCCAATAAAACTCTGTTGTTCTTCCATATTACTATTCTTTTTCTCTCACTCACACTTCTGTTTATCACCTATCACTTTCTCTTTTTTTCGAACTTCTCTTTACCCTCTTCTCTTGGTTTGTGTGCTACATGGGGGGAGAAATAGAGGGGGTGAGTGGAAACTCGAACTGATGCACATCTGTGTATAGTTCAGTGTTGAGACCGTTTAGTCAGTCGGTCAGTCACTGGTAATTTATACTGTTTAGTTGTTGGCCGTGAAAAAGGCTTCTACAGCTGTTTAATAAATACGGTATACTTTTGGTCGTCTAAATCTGTCTGGCTAAAAACTGGTGTTTTTTTAATGGAAACACCGTGGTAAAATGTGTCGTTATAAAATTAATTCACATTATTCTTATATCGAATTCAGGTTCAATCGTAAACCGATGTCAGTTTGAGAACCACTGGAAACCAGGAATTCCTAGGCAGCTTTTTCAATCTGGCTTTGCGACTGTCCAAGAATATGCACTCATGACTTCATTTGAAGTCGAACTGAGAACCGTCAGATTACGAGGCGAGACCGTTGACTGTTCAGATAGTGGGAGAGAATTCAATGCTTTACGAATTATAATAAAGGCTGATTCGCGACAAAAGGTGCCATCGCATAACAGTACCATCGTGAAGTGTCTGCCTGTATGAGCAGTCCTACTGGTTGAGTGGTCAACTGACTCGTCTCATGAACTGAAAATCTTAGGATCGACGCCCGGTAAACTGATGGGTGATTACTGATGAAGAGGCCCAATCTAGGATGTGACTAGGTTTTATTAGTTCCCTGACCGATGTCACTTCGTGATCCAACCTTAACGACGAAACCAGGGAGCACTTGATACCTGTTTCATTCCAGTTTGCGGCTGTATTAATTGCGGTTAGCGATATATCTCGAATTCATGCGTCATTGAGTTCTAGCCAAAGTGGTTGTCAAAGTTCTTTGTTATTCATCGTTTTTGGCTGACCATTTAATCTTTAGAATGTTAAAGTATGATCCGGAAAAAAGGACTCGAATCAAAAGAACACGATGCTTATAATAACGGAAGATTTAAAGGTTTCCTAGACACAAGGTGTGTTCGTCTGATGCAGGTACATAGGCGCCTTAAAATACTCTGTAATAAGTGCAATGCTTTTGACGAATTCAATTTTTTATTATTATTTTTATTATGTAATGTCTCAGTTGATATAGTTTGTTTTTTTCTATTCTTTCCTTTTTTTTTCTCTCTCTCTCTCTCTCGTTAATTAGCAACCGAATAAAGAAGTTGTTTTGAATGAGCTTGCAGAGTTACGATCTATGTGGTTGGGTGGTCAAAATGTAAGAAAACTGTTTTAATTTTTTAAAATTTTTTTTACTAACTTTGATATGGTTACTTAATAATTTCAAGTTTTACTTTTCGTTTTTGTTTAAGTACAAATTAGTACTTCAAAGAATTTTATTAGTTCTAGGTGTAACGTTAAATGTCATAATCGTGGAAACAAAAACCTTTTTCAGTTCCTATTTATCCTGGTGCCTTCCATTTGTGATCATGTCTTTTCTTTTCCGACTTTTTATAGGATTAGATAGAATAAACTGGGTAGGATCATTTTTTGAATCTCTTTTTGACTTTCAAAGTGATTGAATTCTGATCAGTTGTCGTTAGTAATCTTTCCTAGTAGTACATTATTATTGTCTCTTTTAGTTCCTAGAGACACGTGTTCACTGCGTTCGGTTCTGCGCCAACGTTTTCATCTGGTTCCACGTCTGCCTACATGCTTTCATCTCCTCTTCATATCGTCTCCTCCATGTCACCTTCGCACTGACGACCAACTAATTTGCCAATTCCTGTTCGGATTCCACTCGAGTAATGGCTTGGATGGTGATGCATGTCACTAGATGATGGTTTGTTTTCTCAGAGTTTGGCCTCCAATTCACCTCCATTTCTTTCTGCATATTTGTTGCACAATTGGTTCCTACTGGATTGATTGGTTCGTTCATTGCCAGAGATCCCTCTATATTTCTGATCTCTTCTGGCCGGCTATCTGATGATCTTGAATAGTATTGAGCGAAGACAGCTGTTGATGGAAATCTGTAGTTTGTTTGACTTCTGACTACTACCAATTCGTGATGAATTTAGCGCAACCCCAACCAATGTCGTCGGTGTGACATCCATCCTCACTTGTGACTGGATGGACCTCACTGGTCACGACTTTTCACTCGAACATTAGAAAACTACGTCCTGTAGCAAGTCAGTCACTAGCGGGTATCAGAATAATTCCCAAGAGTTTCGTTTGTGCACACTCCAGTGGGTGCGTTCTGCGGGTGATTCTCAAACTAGGATGAAACAGCGGCTGTCCAGTACTCTCTGCTTGTTTTCAGATGGTTCTCTAACTGATATCAATCCGTGGTTAAACTCGTATAAACTCTTTTTATATATTTCGGAAGCCTTTTGTGTCTGTACTTCACTGACTCTGGTTGTTTGGCTTAGACGCTCGACTGTCTCATTTCATCTACTTTCACCCTGGAAATACAGCGGTGATATGATTATCTCTCACACATAGAATAACTCTATGGCTAATAGTAATGGTGCACTGAATGAGTAGTCGAGAAAATTGGTTATTATTGCCACTGTTTTCACACAGTTTTTGTTGTTTATTCTTATATTAGAAATCTAATCTACAACTTTCGTGTTTATACTTGTTGATGTTCTAGTCTACAAACACACACACACACACACACACACACGCACACAGAAAATATACAAAATAAAGACGACTCAACTTGACTATCTACACCAAAAGGTTAATTCTAGGCTTTACAGCTAGATTCCATATTAGTTTGTTTATTAGATTTATCACACAGCGAAACAGTATTACTAACTGGGTGACGGTTCGAACACAATTTATTTATTGTTCATAATCATATCAATTAGGATCGCACATAACTTCGAAACTGGAGTTTTATAGTTTTCTTTGCTCTCTCCTATTTGTCTTCTTTGAGGTAGTAAAAGTTTCCAGATATTCAGGTGGATAGGTGTTGAAACATTCCTATTACACGTATTCTCTCTCTCTCTCACTTAATTCGATAAACAAAGCTTCTGTTATCAATCTCTGCTTCCCTCCACCCTGTTACATTAGATTTTAAAACTGTCATCTTATCGCATCCTAGTGTAGGGTTGTGTTGTGTGTAATTGCATGTAGTGAGTGCTATAGCTGCTGAACTATTCTCCAGATTTCTTATCTTATTTGGGTCAACTAATCGAGATTTTGCTAGGTTTTTTGGGCTGCTCCGCCAGTCAGACTGACCCTGTTCTACTATTTTGACCTATGTATTTGACCTAACATTCATTCCAGCGGGGTATTATATGAACTTAATTTGTTTTGTTTAATTGGCTTCACAGGATTGATACTTTAGCCCACCAAGCTTATTTCTAATTGAGTTTGTGGTTGGTTTGAATGCCAGCCACTTTCATTCCTGCCTTGTTAAGAATTTTGCGTGAGGTTTCTGAGGTTCGTTCCTTGTATGGAATTACTATTGATGATTTAGCTTCCTTATTGTTGGTATTATCTTGAGCATGTTTGACATGTATGTCGTTATTAATATTATCATTATTATTATTGTTATTATCAATATCACTACTATTATTACTGATTTTATTTATATTTTTACACTTCCCTACATACTTTCTGACTAATTTATCAGTGTAATTATTAAGTTTCAAGGCTTCTCTTATATGGCTCAGTTCCTGTCTTTGATTTTCCTTGGTATGACTTGGTTTTCCTGATCTATTATTTAATTATTTCACCAATCCTATTTTTACTGACATAGGATGGGACGATCGAAAGTCCAAATATCTGTTTGAATGTGTGGATTTCCTGTAAACACTGGTGTTTAACTCCCCATCTTATTTCTTTTTTACTCTGCAATCTAACATTGGAAGCTCTCCAGCTTCCTGGCTTTCCAATTCATCCTAAATAAATTGAATTGCCTCCACCTTTGAGTTAATGTGTTCGAAAAATCTAATTATATCCCCTGTTCTAAGTACAGTGAATGTGTCATCTAAATACCTCCACCATACGTTTGGAGTGGGGGTGAACTGTTCAGTTGATATGTTTTTCCACCTATCCGTGAATATATCTGCCACAAAGGGGAATAATACTGTTTAACTGTGTAATACATATAATAGTACGAACTCTTATGGAGTTACTTACAACCGCAGTGCCCAAGTATTACATATATATGAATATGTCTCTTCTTTCCGTGATTTGAGTTGAACTCAGTACATCGTTACCCAGCTAGATGATCATAAGTTTTCAGAACGTTGGCTGACTAACTACCTGAGTTATAACATGCACATCTGTGCCATTGAGAACAGCTGTGACGCATATAACGGATAGTCTCTAGCGCTTCGTGCTTAGCATACGGAAAGCTTCAAAGCAGGTAGTTTATGCCTCCCTCTCCCACTTGATTCAAACCAATTGTCAAAGTCGTTATGCTTTATGTGATATCAGGTTTTGGTTTGACTCTATGCATAACTCTTTCCTGAACCAATTAGATATCAGTTAAAATTGCTTGTCAAGGAGGACATTGGCTTGCCATACAAATTGGTAGCCATCTCAACCGATACAGTTTTAAAACCCCATCGATTGACCTCCGCCCTCCTTACCTAGAACTCTTCTTTTGACTTCAGCATTATTCACCATATTATACCGTTTAGAATGGGTGATAGATCGGAGGCATCTGTTGTCAAAGACGTCTAGCATCTTTAAGTCTTCCGCTTTGAAAGGCAGTTTCTCACTCACGGCCGTAAAGTAGGACATAGAAGACTGCTGCGCACCGCACAATTCCTTTAATTAATAGCCGGGTATCACGTCTACACCAGCGGTGATGTACGTTGGAGATCTCTGCACAAGCCTTTCTTATTCGTATGCTATTATTATTATTATTGTTCCCTTGCATTCCGAGCGGAATATAGTCCTTCTACAGCACTTCTCCATTTTGTCCTATTCATGGTGTCTTCTTTAGCTGGGGGCAGAATTCCCTATAGTCTCCTATCTCTTCCATGTCACCCTTAGACCAATGCTCAACTCATCGTTTGCCATTTGGCTTCCACTTGAGTGATGGCCTGATGCTTGACATCACCGAATGGTCTCCCCAGTAGCGTATACCCGATCCATCTCCATTTTATTTTACATATATTTTTGAGTAATGGGTCCTTGGTTATTTCGTTGCCAGAGTTTCTTGTCACTAAATCTTTCTGACTAATTCATCTTCAATATGGAGCCATCGAAGGCGGAAGCTGTCGATAAAAGTCTGCAGTGGCCTGTTGATAGTGCTTTTTATTAACGTGTTTGCCAAGTTTATGAACCATATAGAAGAAAAACTGACTAACTTCACATTTGTGTTGAAGAGAATCTGAATTTTGCTCTTTATTTTGAGGTGGATTGAAGAATATTTCGAAACTGATATCCGAATGATGAATGTATGTGTTACCTTTCCGATTCTTATCTTTTTATGCATTCTCATCTCTTTCGACTGCCTGCGGTTGAAACGATGCTTCCTAGCCAGATAAGTGAAGGAAATAACCTCTTTCATTATAGATAAGATTTTATTTTGATAAACTGTCACACAGTGTTTGTTCTGCAGTAATATTTACTCATGACAACGTTTCGAGTACAAATTATTACCACTCATAATCATGCCAAGTCACTCACTCGCATAACTCTCCTGCTTCATTTATATACATGAGTGAAACTGACGATTAGACATTTGAATAAAAATAAATATGTGATAATGTACATTCAGAAACAATAATAATATGAGTGTTATCAATCAAATACAATAATCAGATGGGAAATAAGACGAGTGTTTTTATAGTCAAAATAAATAAGTAACTTGTTAGGATGTTGTGATGTTCGTGAATTGAATTGAAATAGAATTTTAAGATTATTTATTATCCTCCTCTGATTTGACTGACTGACTGGTGGTAATAATATCTTCCATGCATATCTCTGGTAATTGCATTGAGTCATTTTTGTTGCATGTGTTGAGTGTAGATTCGATGAACCAGAATTCAATAATCAGTCTCTCTCTCTCCACCTGTGTATATTACTTCTTAGAATCTTAACCCCTTCCCACCCTATTGTGTGGTTAGGCGTTGTTAATTCATGGAGTGTAGTATAGTACTGAGCATTTTTCTAAATTATCTTCTCGGGGTCAATCATTCCTACCTTAGCCAAATTCTTATTCCACACCCAACACATACAACAGAAATGACTCAATGCAAATACCAGAGATATTTTTTTTTGTTTCCTTCACGTTTCCCAGTGGAACATAAG